ATTTCGGTAACTGTTTTAAAAAAGAAAAAAAAATGCTGCTTCCCCAGTACAGCTCATATGAATTCCCCCCCCCCACTACTTACTTATTAGTTAAATAATTTATTGTAATCAGCTATACACTGACATAATCATCCGACTTCCACAACGTTAATAACTTAATTGCCTCTTTCTTCTACCCATGTATATAAAATAACCCCGCCCTTTCTGAAGTGTTGACATCACTATATTTGCCCTTCTGCATGGTCCTCAGACTCTCCTGCTTAAATTAACCTGTTGATAAATTACAAGTGGAGATGCTTCTTAATTCCATCCATCAACAAAACGGTCAAATGGGCAACTCAAGGGATTGAACAAAGACTCTTCAGAAAGTAGAGGATGGCCTTCAGGCACATGGAAGGTCAAAATGCATTGTTATCATAGTACATACTCCATGCAAGACAGAGCAGAGCAACAATAATTGTCCAATGTAATATACTGCTATTGTACCTACAGAAAAGCCAAGATCTTCCTGCTGTAATTGGAAATCAGGCCAGTTTCTGCATCTATATGGTTCTTTCCCCCAGTTTTTATTTTATGATTACTACAGTCTTGGGATGTGACTTAATTTTAGACATAGTAAAGAATGAATGTTAACACCTGCTCAGAGCCCATTCCTGGCAAGAAATCATGCCTAAATAATTGTAACTTCAAACACTGCTAACAAAGCAAATTCATAAGCCCTGTTTAGCGAGGGCTGCAGTGACATCTTCAGCCAGGGTCGCAAGTTGAGGAGATTCAAGCAGATTGATACTGCCGGAGGAGGAGACGTTGCTAAGCCTCCGAGGGGAAGCCACACTTGATCGGCCAGGAGATTGAGTGATGATTTCTGCGCCATGGTCCACACGGGCCCTTGCGTGCTCTCGGAAATTGAGTTTCTGGCTGTCAATCTGTCCAAGGAAGGAAAGTGCAAAAATAAAATGCAGCAACTATAGAAGTGTAAGCTCCCCTGAGACCAATTTCACTTTAATTTCCTTGTAAAAAATCTCTCAAAAGTTTTCCTGGGGGGCAACCTCCGAATGATACCTCCCTGGTCAAACTTCAAAAACAGATTACAGATGTGTCATTTGCTCAGCCTCTTTATGAAATTGTCCTAATTTCATCACCAGAAATCTCCATTCATATTTTTCTTTAAATAAATTTAAGTGAAAATGAAGATATGTGCAAGAATCGTGTGGGAAATGTTGGAGTATAAGTTTAGTTTTGATGATCCGGACTTTCCAAATTAATTGAATGACAGATTCATTCATGACAGATTCCCTGGGCTAAAATAATTTTTTAAAGATAATTTGTACTCTTTGGGCATTCTGTATACTCCTTTTAAAAAGATTAACATGTTGATTTAAATAATATTTTAACTTTTTTGTTTAAATCATAAAATAAATACTCCAGCTTATACAATGTATGTACTGTAGTTAATGAGAACCATATACTGTAGGGATCAAAAAATCAATGAGGTTCATATGAACATAAAAAATAAATACGTAAAATGTTTTTTTCCCCTGGGGAGATTTAAAAGAGGGAGAAGGAAATCAATTTCTGTTAAATTTCTGTATTTAACATATGGTTTAAAAAAAAAGGAATATTCAAAAAAAAATGTAATGATTTCAGGAACAAAAAAGAAACAAAATCAAACATGCAGTGAAGGTAAAGTCTGAAAGTATTTTTACATAAACCGGTGGTCAGTGTAAAGCTTTGACTTCAGAGAGGAGGCAGGAAATCTCTGGAACTTGGATATGGCATAAAATGGGACTTTTCACCCTTGGGAATCTCCCTGTTCTTGCAAAGTCTCCTCTGAAGGAAGAGCTAAGCAGTTAACTCAAGCCTAATGGGGGACACAGTGAGGTAATAGCAACCTCTATCTCTGTGTAAATCATTGTCATTTTTACCTATAGGACTATGAAGAACTCCAGAATATTAAACAACTCCAAAATATTAAACAAAAGAATAAATAATCCATTAAATTAATATATTGACAAGATGCCAAGTCTATGACCCCTGATGTCTTACCTTGATATTACCTCCTCCAGGCACATGGTGAGCATTTTCAAGTGAGCCAACCTTGGCTTGGGCCTTCTCTTTAAAATCCAGTTTCACACTTTCGATTTTCACTCGACCCCCTCCTATAAGTTATGGGGGAGGGGAAAAATACTTTAAAAGAGTACAGTTTTTCTGGATCTAGGATTTAAATAGCATTTAAACCTACTGTGTAATGGATTATTATGCACTTCAATTTGAAAAATATTATTTAGAGTATGATGAGAATATGACAAAAGAGAAGTAAACATATACACACAATCCACATAATTATAGACAAAACTTCTACAGCAGTGGGCCTCAAAACTGGAAAAGAGCCTGCCTTCAGGCGCTTTTCCAAAGTGCCTGAAGGCAGGACAAGAAGCAATGGGTGGAAATTAATCAAGGAGAGAAGCAACCTAGAACTAAGGAGAAACTTCCTGACAGTTAGAACAATTAACCAGTGGAACAACCTGCCTCCAGAAGCTGTGAATGCTCCAACACTGGAAGTTTTTAAGAAGAGACTGGACAGCCATTTGTCCAAAATGCTATAGGGTTTCCTGCCTGAGCAGGGGGTTGGACTAGATGACCTCCAAGGTCCCTTCCAACTTTTATTATTATTATTATTATTATTATTATTATTATTATTATTATTATTATTATTACTGTTATTAGCTAAAATGAGATATATCTGCCATATCTACCATACAAATGGAGTTTGAGCTATACATTTTGTGGTTTGGCTTACTGCACTCTAAACCCATGCCATGGGTTTAATTGTGGTTAATAAAGAAAATCTTAACTACCTATTATATGGTTTGGTTTAGACTATGTGACCTTTGCCATACTCCAGTATGTCATTTAATTTCAACCATCATAAAACTAGAAGTGTTTCTGCAGCACTGCCTCTCCAGCTTCTGGGCAGTTTGGGAGTAAACTTCCTTGCATGCACACTAGGTTGCTGTGATCCTGATTGGACTGGGCTGTTCTCTATTAACAAAAAGCAGGAAAAGTGAATTGACCAGTTACCTCCCAGATGGCCAGGACACCAGGGAAAGATCTTTGCTCGGAATGATTTGGGACAATATCCTGGTGGGGGCTATTTGGCCTCTGCATTAACTTGCATATTTAAAAAGGACATTGAAAAGTTACTTGGAGACAATTGCAAGAGTAATAATAGAGATTCTTACTTTAAAGATCTTTTGTAATGTCTTAAGACGCCAAGTCATATCTTGCCCTATTTTAACTAATAATCAATAGTTATTTTGTCATAATTTTGCTAATTTCTGTTATCCCTTTGAAGTTGACATACATAAAATGAACACGCTTATACCTATAGATAGTTACATTTAAACAATGTTTGGAAAATACCCAGAAAAAAAATAGTGGGAACACTCATGAGAAACATCTGTCCTTCCTTTTAAACAACTGCAGTATAGCCATTTTTAAATATTTTTCTTTGAATATTTTAGTATTTTACTCCTTTGAAAGATATTCTTCCTACAAAATTGTTTTACATACAATGCTAGCAATGCAACTAATGTAACTTTCTGGAGAAACAGATTTTTTTCTGAAATCAAGGAAGCAGAACTCATGTAAACTAGAACTCATGTAAACTATATAGTTATTTTTATATTTTGATCATAATCTAAATTTTATAATTAAAGTACAAGAATAGAATAGAATAGAATAGAATAGAATAGAATAGAATAGAATAGAATCTGGAAGGACCTTGGAGGTCTTCTAGTCCAACCCCCTGCTCAAGCAGGAGAATCTATACCGTTCCAGACAGGTGAATGTCCAGTCTCTTCTTGAAAATCTCCAGTGATGGAGCACCCACAATCTCTGAAGGCAAGCTTTTCCACTAGTTAATTGTCCTCACTGTCAAGAAGTTTCTCCTTAATTCCAGGTTGCTTCTCTTTGATCAGTTTCCAACCATTGTTTCTCGTCCTTCCCTCTGGTGCTTTGGTGAACAACTTGGCCCCCTCTGCCTTGTGGCAGCCCCTCAAATACTGTAATACTGCTATTATGTCTCCCCTATTTCTTCTTTTCTTTAGACTAGCCAAACCGAAGTCCTGCAACTGTTCTTTGTATGTTTTAGTTTCCAGGCCTTTGATCATCTTAGTTGCTCTTCTCTAAATTTTTTCCAAATTCTCAACATCTTTTTTGTGATATGGTGACCAAAATTGGCTGCAGTATTCCAGGTATGGTCTTACTAGAGTTTTATAAAGTGGTACTAGTACTTCGCGTGATCTTGATTCTACGCCTCTGTTTATGTAACCTAGGATTGTATTAGCTTTTTTGGCTGCTGCTGCACACTGCTGGCTCATAGTCAAGTGATCGTCCACTATGACTCCAAGGTCCCTCTCACAGTTACTGTTTTTAGGCCAGGTCTTGCCCAATCTGTTTTTGTACCTTTGGTTTTCCCTTCCTAAATTTAAGACTTTGCTTTTCTCCACATTGAAACTCATTTTGTTGAATAGGGCCCATTGTTCAAGTCTTTTTGGATCCTGAGTTTGGTGTCATCTACATGTTTGATGAGTTCCCCTTCAATTCCCTCATCTAAGTCATTGATGAAGATATTGAAGATTACTGGGCCTAAGACGGCACCTTGTGGTACCCCACTGCTTACTTCTCTCCATGTGGATGTAGTGCCATTGAGGACTACTCATTGAGTACAGTTTGCCAGCCAGTTACAGATCCATCTGGTGGTGGTGGTGTCTATTCCACCTTTTCCTAGCTTACCAAGGAGTAGGTTGTGGTCTACTTTGTCAAATGCCTTACTGAAATCTGCAATTACCTGGCTTTACTAGAAAGAGAAATTTTCCTTAAAAAAATAACTTTGTGAATTATACCTACTAGGTATATTGTTTGTAAGATTTTCTCAGCACACATTTGACCCATTGCCAGACTGGTGTAGTTAACCTTTTTCTAATTTAGTTTCATGTACTTCAATGATATAATGCAGCACATAATTCAGAAACCAATGTAAAAGTTTCACAAACACAAATTCATCAAAATATGCACTGAGAAGTGCTTATGACCAATCTACTCCCTGGAGGCTTTTTGTTATGACTGCTCTTGCAGTGCTCATCTTCCTCCCATCTCATTTACTGTATGTGGCTGTGCTGACTGATAGGCTTTGATAGAGACCTCTTTGCTTTCCTTCCTCCTACCCTGCTACGTAGCAATGGCCACAGACCATATATTAGGGAAATGGAGGAGGCAGTTTCCCCCAAACATCCAGTCATGGTTTTGGAATCAGAGGGCCTAGAAATGAAACTGTAGAAGTTTACAGAATTTCTGGAGTTTACAAGATTCCATTTCCCCTCTGGAAAATCTTAGCATTACCTGGCCTATGACGGATATTCTTCAGGGAACCACATTTAGAAGTCACATGACTCAAGTCTATCTTCTTGGTTACAATCTGCACCTATTTAAAATATACAAAATATATCTGTATGTTTATAGAGAGCGATAGATACAGAAAAATATGCATTTTATATCTGTAGGAAGAAGAAACAAAAATAGAAAAGGTAAGTGTTTAGTTTGAAAAACACAGAATATTAGAAATAAATAATAATGGTACCAAGAAGGAATGATATTCAGGTTACTACAGCAAACATCCCATTGGAAGAGTAAATTAGTGGAATCATTTAAAATCTTTCATTAATAGGTAAGGTTATTAATCAGGAAAGTGAGATTATTTTTAAAGATGAAGATAAGATTTGCCTCAGTGCTGTGTGTTGAAGCGTGTCTTTTAAAGCTTCCATTTTCTTTAGGTAATCAAGGATGTTTTATTTTCATTGCCTGACTTTCTGCCCAGAACAATTTCCTCCTCTTAGGGTATTTCATAAACTTCCTTAGCTTCTGAGAAACATTCGTGGAAATATTGTCCTATAATTTTGACATGTCAAATATGTCAAAACATTTAAGAGGTGTTTATTGGAGTGCTTGAAATAAGTTTGCTGAAAGGGTCAAACCATAGAATTAGGCAAGTGTCTCCTATGATAGCCCTGGATTCACATATCGCCCACAGTGAAGTGAAATCATCTTACAGCTAGTTGACATGCATTGTTCAGTGGCTATGAATGCATCTGGTAAGATTGGGACCAATGAGTGATCATTTCTCTTACTTTTGAATCAGTGACAATACATCTGACATTTTAATCAAGCAATGGTAACTTTCTGCTGACATAATTATTTCTTCAGAACTCAGGACTTATAAGACTCTTTTTTTTTCATTTTGCTTTTAACCTTTGATTAACGATGGAGTTCAGAAGAACCACTGCAGTTAGTCATTACATCAGTGCTTGCAGAACAGGGTGGTTTGTGAAGAAAACCTGGCTCTTGTCCTTCGGAGTGAAATTAAGAACTTGCTGTGGTTCTTTTGAGGAAGGAAGGATATACCCACTCAGCACACAAAGCTGATGCATTATTAGACCAAGTTAATGTGTGAAGCATTAGCAAGAAGAGAAGCAATCTTGGTAAAGGATTAATGAGCTAGTTCAGTGGTGGAGAACCTATGGCATGGGTGCCAGAGGCGGCACTCAGAGCCCTCTCTGTGGGCACACATGCCGTTGCCCCAGCCTTGCCTCCGCCCACGACCCCCTCCTCACCAGCAGCCTCCCTGGAGTAGAGTCACCTCTGAGCATGGCCCACGTGGAGTAGTGCAGCCAAGGACATGGCAGCCAGGCCGCATACACAAGACTCTGCCCTCACGCCCCAATGTGCACAGTTGATGCTGCAGGGTGTGGGCAGAGGGCGTGGCCGCATGGTGCTGCTGGGCTGTCTGGGCGATCTGCGGCAGGCCCTGGAAGCAGTAAGTGGCCCTGCGGGCAGGCAGGGTGGGGCGGAGCGGGGCAGGCGGTGGGGCAGGGGGTGGAGCAGGGGCGGGCCAGTTTTTGGGCACTCGGTCTCTAAAAGGTTTGCCATCACTAGGCTAGTTCATATAGCGTGGGTTCCCCACAGTCATCTGGAGATCAATGTAAGGTACCACCTCTACTTACTTTTCCTCCCCCTGCTGAATGTTTGATGTTATCTCTTGAACCACATCTGGATTGTACATCACTAAAATCAATCTTCTTGCTTAAAATCCTAACCTAAAAGGAATTGGAGGTTATCTTACTATTAAGCATATTCTTTGGCTTTCATGATCCTGAAAATCAGGGTGCAAAATTACGCTATAACGTCTAAATCTGCATTCAAGTCCTTTTCTGAGCCGAGTGGTTAAAAAAGGGAATGAAGGAAAGTCAGCTTTAGAAAATGCTGGTCAGGAAAAGTCCTGTGAAGTAGAAGACACGAAGTCTCGGGAAAGGAGAAAATGGCATTACTTAAGGGAAGAAGGGGAAAGAAGAAATCTCTCATATGGAAAACAGACTTTCCTCATGAATTACAGAACAGTTAACCAACAGAATAACAGTGCCAATAACACTGGACATTTCAGACCAGCTTTTCATCATTTGGGAAACTAGGAGGAGGAGAAAGATATATAGGAAAGATGCATAGAGAGGAAGGCTATTGTCCATCATGAAGATGGACAATAAGTTGGGCATTCTGAGGGCTGAATAGAAAGTCATCTGGAACACTTATTAAATGTACAGATGGAACAGTTTTAGGGGGAAAAACCCTCTTGGATATATTTGAATGAAATTAAGGATCTCAACTGTCATATATTTTACCTGGTCAATAGTTCTCTATTTTAGAAGAGAGGACATGGTGTCTTTCTGGCCAGATGATAACCCAAGTCCTTAGACTTAGAGGACCAGATCCTTATTCTTGACTGGCTAGTAACATGCAGAATGATTGCTTATTCAGTCATTATTTCAGAAAAGATCTGTCAGCTGAGCTTTTGGAACTGCATGCATGAACTTCCTCCTTTTTTTTTAAGTTTTTGCTTTGTGAACAACTCTTGCCTAACATTCAAAAACCACCCCTTTTCCTGATCTCTAATTATGTAACTATTTCTAATTACAAACTTTGGATTTTTTATCCCATTTGATTGTCCATGCCTTGAAATCAGAGCTGTATCTTTCCTGAGATCCTGAAGCATTTCTGATTTCCTTTTTCCTGACATACCACAAGCAGGATTCCCGAGACTGCCAATATAAAAACCTTTTTGAAAATTAAATGCCACAAAGGTTTATTTAAAAGTTCCAAAACGTTTAAGTATGTATACATGTTTTAAAACTTATTTTATAATTGTCTAAGCTTTGTGCCTTTTCTTTACAATCTGGGGTAGATTTTCAACAAAATTCTAAGGGTATTCTCTTTTCTTCATTGCGGTATGCTGTTAGTTGGGGAGACTTTTTTAGTTTTATGGCTGCTGAACAAAATTTCAGGAGAAAAAGCATGTCCTTATCTGAATCTATTGTGCACATGATTGTGACTAGGGTTGCAAAAAAACAAAAACAAAAAACCAGAGTTTTTCATTTATGAATTAAAATTACACAACAAGGCAATAAGAGAATATTTGCTTGGCATTGCCCTCACTTCCAAGGGAAAGCAACAACACCTAAATGAGAGAGATTACAGGATGGAAATCTTTCTGAAAGCAGCTCTTAGACCAGTCTTTCCTCAGCCTCATAGGTAAATACAATCAAGGTCACTATATTCTTACTCCATGTGTTTCAGGAATAGATAGATACTGGTTTTGAAAGTGTCACAGTTTCTTCTGTCCTTGGTACAAATCAAACACTGAAATACTTTTCTAGAAAGGTGGCTAATGAGTACCCATGCCATGAAATGAAATTTCCTTTGGGCTTTGTGCCACATTTACTACATCCCTTTATCAAAAGGTCTGTGAGTATTTATCAGTCTCTATTTACCCAAGTGACTGTGATGGAATCTTGCAGTTGGTTTAAAAAATGGCAAGCTTCTTCATTAAACAGCAAACAATAAAAAAATACACTATATAATCAACTCATCAAATATTCTGGTATGTACATACATTGTATATATCTTATTTAGATATAAAAGATGCCACTATATACAGAAAGGACAATTTGGTATAAATGGTTATCTTCTAGGCAAGCATGGGCCTTTCTCACAAGAAATAGAAAACTGGTCTTTTTTAAAGATTCTTATAAAAATACAGGTAGGAAATCATTACTTTACCAGTTTTATAAATGGCAAAAAGCATAACCATCAGGATGTATGGTAAATTTAAATTGAAATGGCCAGATATAAGAATATAAATGCTCTTGTGCATATTGCAATTATTACAATATAGAAAAAATAATAATTAAAATAAAGTAAAACCTACTGTAAGAACCCACCCCACTTTGCATCTTAAGAAGACAGAACTCCTGGAATATTTCTTCCAACAGGCATCTTTATTAAGAGAAAGCTGGATGTAGGCGTTCTAGACA